GAGAGAGAGAGAGGGGGAGAGAGAGGGGGTGAGAGCGTATTTGTGTGTCTGTATGTGTGTGTGTGTGCTTTTTTTCACGCTGTGAGCAATTGTTCAATTCGCTGGCAAGGCTGATGTCATCACTGAGCTCGCGGTGTTCGGGTTGTCCACGCCTGAGCTAAGTTCCGCGTTATGACAGCGGTTTACACGAAAGCTGCGATCCTGCGTTGATAAACAGTGAACCCCTGGTATCTCTTTGAGTGCCTTCAAATATAAAAAAATGTTTTTATGTTGATAAATACTAGATTTTTTATCAGTAAAAAATCTTTTGTCCACTGTCCAGCCGACATAAAGTGGCCGGCTCTGGTATTGCCCAGTTAACAAACCCTCTCTGCCCTACATATTGCTTTATTTGAATTTTGCAAAGAGTCAATGAATGTTGTTGACCTCCCTTGCTGTCTTCGGTCAACATCCTATTTAATTTGAAATAAAAATATGATTTACAGAATGTACTTCTTTTTTCCACGGTAATCATAATGTTCTTTCTCGTTTGCCTCACAGTGACAGATCGCCAAAGAAAAGAGGGAGACCGCGTCTGAAGCGTAGAAGCTCACCAGAAAAAGATCCATTACCCCAATCAGAGAAATGGTCACGCCAGAAAAGGAGATTGAGGGAGGGCTTTCCGCATAAGCCTCCTACCCAAGACGTTCCGACTTCTAGGAAATTTCAACGGATCGAATGGGACAGAACAATCTTTGATGACGAGTCTGAGGTCGTGAATCTCCCACAAGTTGCCCAAGAGCCCGAGGGGACCTTGACCGAACAAAGACAACCCGACAATGATGACTTACTCCAACCTGAAGCCAGAGACGACATTACTTCGGGTACGTTTTTATGTGGTGTCACAGTGTTTCCGTCACCCGTGCAGATTTTTGAGACACAATGCAATCGGTGTCACGAGCAATCCCTCAAGTCTGTTTGGTCCTTTTTACATTAGAGACTTTTAAAATAAGATAAACCTTAAATAGTTTTTGCTGTGTTGTTTTAATCGGGGATTTTGAAAAGAAAAAGAACTGTAAGCCTTGACCTTAGCATTAAACTGCATTTTGGTGATGTTGAATGGTGCAGCTTTGATGGAGCTTGGGG